CCCTGTTGAGATGCTTTAACATATCTCTAGTTGAGTAACATAGATTTTCTCCACTTCTTCCATTCTTGAATAATTCACACTATTTTTTTTCTCAACTTTTATCATTTTTCATTACTATTATATAAAATAAAATGTTAATAAAAATTTGATATATCAATAATGTGCATTAACCTTAGGATAAGTATAACAACAACTTACTTATTAGCATTTAAAAGTATGTAGTAAATGTAACGTACCGTTTTTTATTTTTTTATTTTTTTTTATTAATCAACTCTTTATTTACTCAACTTAACAAATGTCGTATGAATACATGTATGAACAAAGAATGAAACGTATATGCGTTGTTGAACAACAAAGTCTCTTTTTTAAAGTGGAGTTGTTCCCACCACCAAATCTATAGCATGGCATGAGTGGAAAATAAATTTAAAAAAAAAAAAATTAAAATATGAGTTAGAAGTAGTTAATGTACTGTTTAGGCTAACAAGTAACAACTGTAGACTGCTGCTATATGCTTTGAAATAAGAAACCGTACAAATATACTGTGTACATTTCAAGTCCTTAACTTGTGAAGTGGTTTTTGGTTTAAGATGTTAATACAGTAGTTTGTTCATACTTTAATTTATCACCACATGATGTGATGATTTTAAATTGTAACCTTACTTTCAAATTTTGTCAAGAGTATATACATTTAAATTTTAAAATTTTTGTGTGTTTTAAGTTTTGTCAAGAGTATATATATATACTACCTCCGTCTTTTTTAGTTGATACATTTTGACTTTAACACTATTTACATACTCCCTTTTGACCGTGTTTTATGGTTTATACATAATGAAAAATATAGTCGAGTGGGATCTTGTTAGATTTGTCATGATATATATTTTTAAAATATCAAACTTTCATAATTTTTGCTTATAATTAAAGATATGAATGGTTGAAATTGTGTGTTGGCAAACGTGACTAAAGAAACGTGTCAACTAAAAAGAAACGGAGGAAGTATATATTTTACTATTCATTATATTTGAGGTTGTGATGTACATACAACTACTACTTCGTTAAATAGTACTAAAAATGACGTATTAGGCGCTTTCGATAGGGCTGTAAGACGGAGATTGGGAGTATTGAAGTGTCTATGAAAATTGTGTATGTGAAGTTGAATATGATGTAACAAGCTAAGTTAACACATAAAGAAGAAAGAAAATAAAGATTCGAATGAGCATTTCCTTTTCAAGGCCATACTTATATCCATAATAAAGCATGGCTAGTTTATGATATTGCAAATTCATAAAATAGTGGACAGTTTACCTACTTTAGCTTAATGCATGTGTAATGTCTCATTGAGGGAGACTAATTGATAGGAGACTGCAAATCTATACTATTTTATAACTAATTCATGTAGCTGACCACAAATTTCTATATTCAATAATGCAAATTATAAAATATACTTGGAAAAGAATGTAGGAATTGATTGAAATAGCACTTGTGCCATGAATTTATATACTCCTAGTGCTTTGTAGCAGATAACATGAAATAGCACTTACCATGTATTGATAACCAAAATCTTTTTGACATTTTTATAAAATTTAGATACATGCATCTTCTACTCTCCTGATTCCTAAAAGATCTCTTATCTGTTTTTTCGTGGTTATTAATATGTTTGTTTGAGAATTGATAAAAGGTTGTTCGTTTGGATTAAAAAAAATAATAATAATAATTATCTGTCACGTGGTGCTCTTCTACGGGGTATAATTTAAATATATATGTTCTCTCTAATAAGTTAGCGCATCAATTAAAATTTGTTGCAATAAGTTCCTGAAATCTTTCACTGGCACCACTTTATTATTGTAGCATACTACTCTTTAAATTTTACTATAAAACTATTTTCTTACGTTAATTGTTTCTTGAAATAATTTCTAAAAAATAAAAATACAGCCTATTGCTTTGTTTAAACATATAGTTGAAATAGCTTTTTGATATGCAATTCAAGGGTTCAACCATAAGGTCCATAACAATAAGATTTAGATCACTTATCATTTCTTGGTTATATTGATAATTTAACCTATCAAATTAGTCAATTAAGTCAAATTTGTCAAGGAAAATTCCAAGTTTGGACCATCATTTCGATTGCTAATTGAATTATTTTCACGAAAAACTTTAATTGTTGACATATACAACTACGGAGTACAAATAAGTGAGAAGTATTCAAATGAAAAAGAACGTAACTTAATTTGTATTCAGATTTAGGTTGTTTTTTTTTTTGTGTGTGTATTCCACCCGGTTCACCCTTTGAGGCTAATTCGGATTCGATGTTCAGTTCTGGGTGTTTAGGTTCTAGTCCCCTTTTAATTGTTGTTGCGGGGGGATTGAACACGCAATTCTCCCTACCTAATATAGCCTCAATCACCACTACACCGACAACCAATTGGTAGATTTAGGTCGATTTTACACGGTGTAAGATCAGGGAGAAAACTTATGGTGTTGAAGATGCCATTAGTCAACTGCATAGATAGCTATCAAATAGAATTAAATGGATTGTACCCACATTGTCAGACGATCTGATTTTTTGTATGCCAGTCACATTAACGTATCGTATGGGATGGGTCAAAAAGGAAAAGTTGTCTATGAAAATAATTCTAAAGTTTTTTTTTGCTATGTTAAACCATGAAGAATTAGATCAATCGTTTTCAAATAGTATAAATTATTCACTCTAGTCTTGAAATAATTAATTTATTTATTGGTAGTTAGCAATTAATTATATATTTATTGTCGGCTAATTAAATGATTAGAGTAATGTGTTGGCAAAAATCTTTGATATAGAGTGGTACGTAAGATACTAGATCAAATGTCGTTTATATCAATTATTTTCAATTCTTATTGATGTGTTTATAGTACGGGGTCGATATTGGACCACAGGCCACAGGCATAAATATAGTGAGACTAGTGTGGTGATGAGCATGGATCATAAATTGCATTGTTGTGACATTGTGAGTAGCTGGTGAATACCAGACAGTGCCATTTGGGGAGACAAAGAATTTATATTTAAGATCATCATACAATCTAAGTAGCATTGATTTTGCCTTTGCTTACCCGTATATATAGTTGTATGTACAAACTAATATAATAATGATATAGAGGGCAAAGCAACAAAATGTAGGTGAACAACAAAAAAATCGAATTTCATATTCTTTTGATATTTTAAGAGACAAGGTATTGTTCTAAAAATCATTAGAATTGTTGAGATTTAATCAGGACGCTTAATAGGAAGTATTTTTTTGGATGTAAAGAAACATAATTCGTATAAAGATCACCAATAAATGTAGATTATTCAACCATATATATTCTCATTTATTTTTAGTAGGATTAGGAGAAAGACCATGATAGGTTGACGCTAGAACGTTTGAAAGTAAGCAAAGGGGTTGGATCTTGGGTATGCAAATCTCAAAAAAAAAAAAAAAAAAAAACGAAAATAGAGTTGACTTTGAGTCTCATGGCATCAATATCGTGGCCTAATCAACCACATATATTCTCATTTATCTTTAGTAAGATTAGGAGAAAGACCATGATAGATTGACGCAAGAACGTTTGAAAGTAAGCAATGGGGTTGGATCTTAGACATTCAAAAAAACAAAAAACATACGAATATAGAGTTGGCTTTGAGACACATGACATCGATAAGGCTAAAAAGACTGACTAATTCAACAATACAATTTGGCGATAATAAAGGAAACCCTTATCCCTCCAAAAAAATTATTAATAGAATTTGGAAGATAAAATCTCTAATCTTGTGGTTATCAAAACCTACCTTGTAATATAGTACATCAAGTACTACCTATAATATCTAAGTGACATCCACGTATAGATGATTCCATTAATCATTAGTCTTAATGAAGAAGTTTCAACTTTCCAATTATGCTAATTGGGCCATAGAAAACATTAATTGATCCTACTTGTAGACTTGTAGTTTATGTGAGATAAATGGATAATAGGATAAGAGAAAGTGCAATTAAAGTCCAATTGTTTTTTCCTCCTAAAAAATCGAAGATAATAAAGGGTAAAAATATACGCATATGGACATATGGTGAATTGGTGATTGAGTGAGCTTTTCTCAATGCTACAAATTTGGGAAAATGATCAAATTTTGAGGAACATTGTCAATATCACACCTCACTAGTAATTAATTAAGGTGCACAAAGTTTTTTTAAAAAATAATAATAAAGGCAATGACTTGTTCCCTTAGCTTACAACCTTAAGTCTTCAAGATTAATGATTACAATTTAAAATATAATTCAAGTTTATACATGAGCTCGTGTTATTTAATTTACATTAATTCTAATAAACTCGGGTGAAAACATGAGTTTGTAAGTGTACATCACATAATCAACCTTCACCCTAAACAACAATGTAGTGTGCTCCCTTGGTATACATTATCAAGGGCTTTAGGGCATAATGAGTCACATGATGAGACATATAAGCCTATGAATTCTCATTTATCGATGAATGATCACAATCAAAATTATCTTGAAATGTAATCGTGAAATCCCTTTAACGAAAAAACATGTACGAAGTTTACCGATGTCTTTCGTGACCCATATCATGCTTGACTAGAGAAGCATATCACGAAAAGGGTGACAACGAACACCATATCTGTTCGTCGTAATGTATAACAAATCCAAAACAATTAGATCCCGATTCATACCACCATATCACGAACACACCAATGTCCACCATAATCACCATCAATATCGACATCAACTCGTATATATGAAATTGTTAACCATATTTTCCTCGATACATTACATCTATTGATCTATAGCATGAAAAGGGTGTCAACGAACACCATCGAAAACACAAGGAACTTAATGAGTGCCACAAAGTAGCAAATGCATCTCGTTCAATCTTTACAAATATAGACAAAACACTACCAATTATTCTAGCTAGTGGTCCATAAAAACTAGCCATTCTAAGCAACCCATAAATCACATCAACATTTGTGACACAATTCGTACAAAATCCAATCACTCGGTAAAAATAGCAAACAAATAATTATACATTACCATTATATAATAATTGTAAGAGTAGTTCACAATATTTACAACCTAAATATAGATAATTCAAAGCTAATTAACAACGATTAATCATCATAAAACTCATTATCGACCTATCATAACTCATAGCAATAATAATCGATACGAAAAATTACATGCTTAAAATGGGAAATTACTTGTCTTCCTCTTCATTTTCCTTCTTAGGTAGCTTGGTAAAAAAAAATAAAGAGTAGGCTTCAGCTGTACAAAATAAGATCTTCCTCCTTTTTCTTGGCAAATCTAGGACCTTCCAGATTGTCCCCCAGGTAGAAAAATTAAAAATAAATTGAAAAAAAAAGTTTTTTTTTTTTTTTTTTTTTGGATTCCTTAACACCCCCACATATTTGGGAAAGTTTTATCTACAATATAATTCCTTTCATAGTAAATCTTGAAATCTCCCAAAATTAATGGGTACTTCCTTTGAGTCAGCAGAATTGTTTTAGACTGCCAGATTTTAAAAAAAAAAATTAAAATGAACTAATCATAATTATAATATGAGTAGTAAATAATTAATTAATGCTTCTAATACCCAAATTTTTTAGTTAAAAATTCTTGGGGAAAAAAAAATTGGAAAAAATAATTTTTTTTTTTTTTTGAGTGAAATTATTTTTCTTCACAAATCACCGTGATCCTAAATAATTTACTCCATGGTAAGAAAATATTGGCTTTACGTACTCATAATATCCAAATGGGTGTGTATTCTAGGGTGTGGTAATTCAATCACTCAATAAGATCACACACCCACCCGAAATCAGGACCCGGTCCGGGTGCCGATGTCGAAAGTGGGCTACCCGACCCATCAAGAGGATTTTCTTTGCTTAACTTTTCGAACATCCGAGCCCTTAACTCCCTACCAGACTCAACCCTCTCCATCACAGGCTGCTCATCTTCTTCACCAATATCTTGATTATCCCAATACCCGATCCTCGGCCGGGTTGGGGTTGTCGGCAGGCTAAAGAACCCAGCCCGATTAATCGCCGTGGGAGTCCCAACCCCGCAAGGGGACCCGAATACAGGCGAGCCATTCACGTGCATGGGATGACTCCCCCACGAGCTCGGTATGGATTTGACCTTGTTTAGTTGTAGGTTCCTGATGGAAGCCATGAGGTCGCCTACAGACGGGGTGTTGATGGTGCTATCCTCGGAGCCCGAGACGAGCCCACTTCCTCTCGGGCTACCGAGGCCCGGCCCGGTCCGGAGCTGATCAGGCGTGTGGGCGAAGAAACAAACCCGGCGCTTACACCCGGGCCCGTCCTTACAAGCCTGGGTCCGGAACCGGGTCGGGTGTAGCCAGCACTCGAACACCCCGTGAGCGAACTCGCACCCGTCACCCTTCTTGCATCCTCCTTTCCTAAACTCGGAACACGCCGTCCCCGAATAGCTAAACTTCCTCGGGTCCCTTCGCCTCGCCTTCTCGCCAGGATGGGCGAAGGGACACTCAGTCCAATCATGGGCCCGAGCCCGAGTACACTTACGTACCTTAAAATCATACATGAAAAAATCATCATCATATTCACCTGATAAAAAATCAACCTCACTAGAATAATCCACCGTCGCCGCCGCCGCCGGAGAAACCTCCTTATCAACGGCGTCGGCAAGGAGGTACCGACGAAGGGACGCTAAAACAGCGTCGTAGTAAGTGGGGGAATTAGGGAGATGATTAGAGCCTACACCACCGCTATTTGATTGTAGCGGCGGTGATGAGGCTGGGGATGAGATATGTACCGCCGTGGGAGAATACGATTCCTGCCACGGCGGTACATCAATCTGATGATGATGGCGGGTTTCTCCGATCATCATTTTGATTTCGGGTTTTTGGAGAAAGAAAATGAATGTATACAAACAATAATATAAAATAATAATAAAAGTGTTATTTGGTAAGTGTTTGTAGTTTTGATTCGTGTCCGATGATATGATAGCAAATGACGGCTAGATGAAGAGGGGTATATAAAGGGTTAATTTAACCATGGTTAAGAATTTTGAGAATTAAGGTAAAAATTAATTAAAAATGGATTTTAATTACCAAAAGCGGTTAAAAAATGTGGAAAATACTAGAGGTGGAGGAGGTTCTAGAGTTACCAGCTGTGACTTGGGGGTGAAGGAAGGTTTATTGGGATTCGTGGGATTTTGATGAGGTGGAATTTGGGAGGACATGTGGTGTGATGTGATTGGTGAAGGTGAGAATATAATTGGTGATTTTAAGGGTGGTGTCAGTGAAATACTAATAAAGGGTTAATTTTTTGAGAGTATTGAATTTCCAAAGGCGGTGGAGCGTCAAATACGTAAAGCCTTTTTGTATTCTCAAGCTTTTTGTTTTTTCGACTCTCCGTATTTGTTTTACAAAGTATTTGTACACGTATTAATAAAGTGTTAACTCACTTAGGGTCTGTTCTCATACGTTTATTTTCACCTCAGTTCATTTCAACTTCTAATTTTCTTCTCTTATAAAATATTTAGTTCAGTTCAATTTTGTTCAGCTTCTAATTTCCTTCTCTTATAAAATATTCAGCTCGGTTTAGTTCACTTCAGCTAATTTCAGTCTATAAGAACAGACCTTTAATAAGGTTCTTATTAAAAGTCAAAAATTTGGATCCTACTAATTGAAGGTAAATACTGAATAAAACCTATAAGAATTGAGATATAGTCATCAGAATCGTTGTTGCTAATTAAAACAAGTAGTATTTGTACACATTTTTTTTTTTGTTAGAGGGATTTAATTTAGGTTTTCAATACTAAATTTAATTTCAATTTTTTCCAAGATCCTTAGGGATTAAGGGATGATAAACAATTTATAAATAAAGTCAATACGTAACATTAGGATTAGAGACCCTTCTTATGAGAGAAATTCATAACATAAATATCTTGGTAATGTATTTAGACAATTTATATTAAAAGTTCGATAATCACTACGGAGTATTACTAGATTGAATCAAATACGATATACTCTTACTTGATTTTTTGCTCAATGATCAACACTCATTTCTACTTATTGAGATCTTCAATCATGTATTAGTTAAATTTGTATCTAAAGTTCAATTTATACTTTTCCTATCTATAATAGAAAGTAGGTTTTTTTTTCCAATTTCTCTAAAAACCCTGTAGAGTGTAAGGGCTTGTTGTCTTCAACTTAATTTCAGTTCAGTTTAATTCTAATTTCCTTCTTTTATAAACAATTTAGTTCAGCTCCAATCACTTCATTTCAGTTCACTAAGCTAAATCAAAACAAACCCTAATTAAGTATTTTCTATGAAAAAGGATAACAATAATTCTATGGTACATATACACTTTTAGCTATTTCAATTTTCAAATGATGTTATAAGGGGGAAAAATAAAACATTTGAATATCGATCATATAGTAAGACAATGGTTGATATAGTCATATAGTGAGGACTGATCAAGGGTGCTTGCCATGCAAATTATGACATGAATGGTTATATAGCCATATATACTCCGTATATCTTAATAAATTAATTTAATTATACGTATACTAGTATTACTTATAATCTAATTGAAAGCTCTACATACTCCAAAAAAATCATACTTTAATATATACATGTGGCAAATTTATTAAATATTTGATACCTTTGTTTTACGTTATAATCATCATACCAATACCATACCATTTTAAGTATGTACGAGTACATACTAGTTTCTTAACCATAACTCAAAATGCACAAACTTTTGCTTAGTAAACCTTTATATCTATAAATTTGCTCCTAAAAAGGTGACTAAGTAGATAATGAGAGATTTTAGATAATAATAATCATGGCTTTACAGAAGTTTCAATTACAAAATAACAACTAAAAATGAATTTCCAATCAAAAAAATATAAAAAAACATTATCCTAGACAGTTTTAGTAAATCTCAATAATTAGAGAAGTACACAATAATTGACTAACGTTACTATAAATATGGGTTGTACAAAGTCAAATGAATCACTAGACGCGTGTGCGATTTTTGGAGATGGTTTTGCATGAAGCCATGTGCGAGTCTTTGCGACTTTGCTAACCCATTTCCTTCTAATGTTTTTTTTTTACCCCTTTGTTAAGGAGCTCTTTTCGTTTCTTTAATTTACCTCTTCTAGTAAATTTTACGGTAATTATAGTGTGATGTGTTGTTAATACCATATAATTAAGGTTTCGTGTGTTAATAATGAAAGTTTTTTGATAAGTCAAGAATTCGTTTAGATATAAAGCAATCTTAAACTGCTATGTGCATCAAAGTATGAATTATGATTCATAAACGTATTAATATGAGTCGAGTAATTCTCCCTCCGGTTCTCAATATAATATTTAAAAGATACTGAAGAATGTGCACGTAAATTAAAATAAGGTGTTATTTCAAGATCGAAAAGTTAAGCAGGTAATTGGAGAGCATTCTAACTCATTTTGTAGATTATGACTAGTGTAGGTTATTATGAATAGTTACATATGATATGGTAAATTTTTGTAAAAAAATGTTGAACAAGCTAAGCTAGCTATGAGATTTTTTTTATAAATGCAAAATTATGAGATGTACCCGAAAGATCAAACAATGCAAGAAAGCTCAAACATAAAAATCAAGTAAAGATACCAAGGGCCCTCTTAACTCTTGTGGATTAGCTTGTGACTTTAACCACCAAAAGATTGACAATCTTGAAGACAAAGCATCAAATTGTAGCCACATATTAGCAACTAAGGTAGTTAATTCACAATTCTAGGACACACAAAATTTGTACAATAGATCCATACAATGAATTTGTGGGACCTATTTTACGATCACACAATTACTTCATTTTGCTCCCAAAGAATTTTCATGCACTAATCAATCCATTGCATTTTCAGGGCATTCCAAAACTCAAATAATTGGTTTCATTGAGGAAGAGGAAGCAACATGATGGTTATTTAACTACTTCTATCTCCTAGAGGTTTTGTCTTGGGATCGATCCTCACTGAATCAAAAGAGGGGATGAGAACGGGTCCTGAAGTAAAAATGGCGGTGCGTGGTAACTTAATGTTAATACTTCGTATATTACACGGTGAGTTTAAGTCAAATTTTTAAAGGCAATGTTTAACGATATACAATGGAAATAAGGTGTAAACAGTGATATCGAGAAAATACCACTTTTGAATAAATTCACAATTACTCTCGGAATTATTCTTTAATTAAAGCGAGTGTGTTTTTTTTTTCCATGGTGGGGCTAGAGGACGCCCTTCATCCTGCGGTAACTCATCAAAAGGTCCATTCCTCTTCTTTTTTTTTCTTCCCTAGGGATTAAGTTAAGTAAAATTTGACAAAGCTGATTAGTTGAATGATATTCCAAATTAAAGCAACGTATTCAGTTAGAAATAGTGACAACATCATGATTTATAATATAGTGGACTTGGCTTTTGAGGTAAAACAACAGAAAAGATCAAATGTGCATATATTCTTACACGACCTAAAAATAATTTGGTGTTTTTTAGGGTCGTAAAAGAAAATTGGTGTTAATGTATTGTTTTGTCAATCTTGTCCCTATGATAATAACATGCATATCCTAGAAGAATCACAGTGCTTTAAAATGTGTAATTTTCAATCACAATTTTTGTGACCCCACTTAATAAGTCACATTATTATTTCAACTTTATTAAGGGCCATTACTTGTTCTAGTACTACCCATTTGATAATTACATCTTGTTTGTACAAATTCTTTTGGCTTCATCCCGGCATATCTAGAGTTGTTAAAAATTGATTCGATCTGATTAAAATTTGACAAGAAATGAATAACTTGATGAAGAAAATATAATAGCAAGCTTCCTCATAAATAACGAACCGGGTATGTACACATGCTACATATCAAAGGGTCGTTAGGTTTCTAAGGTAGAATGATTCGTTAAATACATACAATTTATTGATTTAGTATCATCTTATAAAGCATGAATTTAGCTATAATTTATATGTGGAGTGATTGTTGTTGCTCATTAAGCAAAAATTGAATGTTGCATTCTTAGTTTAATTCGGTTAAAATCAGTTTATTTGGGCTATTGACATCTTATAAAGTATATATGAAATTTAACTCTATAATTGATTGTAGAATTATTGTTGTTGGTCCTTAAGAAGAAAAATAAAATTTACAAACTCAATTAGATTTAGTTAATAAATAAATTCCAATTACCGAATATAAAAGTCGTACAAGAAGGGTTACATCAAATTATCCAATATACCAAACTATGAAGGTATAAGGGTGTAACTGGATCAGTGTCTTTCCTACATAATCAGCAAGCTTCATTAACATATATATTTTTTTGAAGTACATCATTACCGAATAACACATATAGGGTCTCATATTGATAAAAGTTAAGAGTTAAACTCTTAATAAGGTTGAAGAGCTACTCCTCCTTAAAGATGGCACTAGGTCGAGCCGATCTGAAGCCCAGCACCAAAAAAGCACGACACGGTACGGGCACGGAAAAAACACAGCATATTACGGTACTATGCGTGTTGGTTGTGGATTGCCTTTATTTGGGAGAAGCACGATCAAACACGGCTCGATCGGGCTTGACACAACAAAACATGCTAACATCAATGCAATTTCGCTTAAAGCAAGCCTAGCACGGCCTAGCACGTGAGCCCAAGCCAACCTTTTGAAATCTTTGGCCCGGTACGACATGAAACTCGTGGGCTGAGTCATGGACCAGACTTAACTAATCCCAAATTAAAGTACACGGGACTGGCACGAGGCACGACCTGACATGACCCAGAGCCATCTTCACTCCTCTTATCGTCATATATTTTTGGGATGGAACTCCTTTGGAGTTGTAAAGTGAACTCACTCTGTAGTGATTTTACCTAAACACATATTTCTAACCATATTAATATATAGCAATTCAAGACTACAATAATATATTTAAAGCAACGTTATATTTTTTTGGCAAAATGGTCTGATGGTCAATGCTAATAATCATCTG